TTTTACCTTTTAGGCCTAGTACAAGAGATATAAGGTTAGATGTCCAAGCAAACGAAATATATTTCTATGCTTGGACGCTTTCGAATGTGTTTAAGGAATCCAAGTAATCAAGAATGTGTTGGGAACACTTTCGTTCATGTTTATGGTGACTATGATGAATTTATGAATTTTTCAAACTTAGGATATAATAGTGTGAACTAATTAATTAATTAATTTTTTGATCTACAAGTAATGTAATGAATTTTTATTTATTATTATTTTTTTTTGTCTCTATCCCGCAATTTACAAATTAATATTATGTTACCATTAGCCTATACATTTATATCCACACAAAATGTAATATCCAAATGAGCTTATCATCATCAGAAAAGCTTGCTTGCAAAGTCCTCAATTTTCTCCTCTGCTTTTCTGGAAGAAGAATCGGCGAGATCTCTAACTTGGGACAAGCTCCTTCCCAACTACAACGCCACCTTCATTTCAAACAATTCTACATTTTCTATTCTCTCCATATCTTTTCCAATCAAGTTTGATTCTATGGACTCTTCCATCAGCCTGAAGAATCCGGCATTGCTCCGGTACATCTCGAACACCATTCCGACTTGCCCACCGTGCTCAATTATGTTTACTACACTTGCTAAAGCACCAGCAACAACTCCGAGCACCACCGCCCAAGAGCCGTGATTAGGAGACCCCACAAAGGCGGAGCCAAGTGCTGCTAATCCTGTGAGCACAGGACCTCCAATGGCTAGAAATTTGTACAGTTTCAAGGCTTTCCCTCCCAACCTCAAGTAGTCTGCTTCGTCTTTATTTCCCGTAACACGACTTATATCTCTCATTTCCTCCTCCAACATCCCATTCCAACCTTTCTTCCCATCGAGCCCTTTAGTCTATCTTGGACGCTGCTCCGGCCACCACACTGCGGGCTCTACATTCTCCGGGAATTTCTCGAGCATTGCACCAAGAAGAGGAAGCGGGTAGGCCTTGTCAAGAGCCAACACTTTTTCCATCATTTCCTTTACATCACTAGTTGTAGGATTACCCATCGCTATTATCGTCTGAATCTGATTGTGAAGCTGCTTGAGCAACTTAGTTGCATTTCTTTGCTCCTCAGCAAGCTGAGATGGTTGAATCTTGTTCATTATGGACAGCATCCCAATTGCTGAAAGATACATGATGGTGGACGAAAGCTTTAACACCGCCACCGGAGCAGCAGCACCAATTACACTTGTAGCCGCAATTCCTGCCATTGCAGCCGTCAAGAGTGTGAGCGCATTAATCGATGTCAAAAGCAGGCTGTTCCAATTATTTCTTTGCTCTCCAATATTCTTGTACATCTCCACCCTATCGGCAACAGCCTCCAGGATTGCATAGAGTTTTGCCATTACCTATGGATCATGACCGTTATTATCATTTCTTTTAAACATATTGACATCGATAGGGCTGCGTTTTCTGTCAGTGCAATTGTGTAAGTCAAGTTCCTCTCCCATTCCCTTTGTTTTTAGCCCAGGAAGAGAAATATTTGTTAATCTCCTCGGAACATTAATGGTAGCCCTGATAATTCGTCCTCTTCGACTCCAGGATGAAGAACTGGATGAACACACGTTGCTTGAAGTTTGTGGGGAGGCCATTTCTTTTACGATAGTATAATCTTTTCTTGAGCTTCGATATATGGCCGTGTGAATATTCTATTTCTTGGATTTTTCTTGTTTTTGGGAGATGTTTTCTGATGAAGAATTGTGTAGTTTGCTGCGCATATATATCTAAGTGGGTGGCTGACATAAAATCATAGACTGCAAATGAAAATATTTTTCAGCGTTTGATTGTTTAGTTTGAATCGGTTAATGGCAAGAAATCTGACATTTTCTTCAGTCTCACTCCTATGTTTTGGATGCTTGAATTGACTTTCAACTCAGGGCGTTGAAATATTTTGAAACAGCCAAACACCCCCAAAGGGTATATAATGAAACATAAAAATGGTATACCTAACAAAACATTGTTCACGCCATATGATAACGAGAGTATGACAAGAATGCTGAATTATAGATTTTATTTTTTTAAGCCCTTGTTTGATACCGATTAAAAAAATCTAGATTTTTATTTAAATTAAAATCAATAATTAAGTTTAATAACATATTTCATAGGTCCCACGGATTTTCAACCACATATTTTATCAACTTTTATCAAAATATACCATAAATCTAATTTCAATCCCCACCAAAAAGAAACTAAATCTTAAGCTTCCTAATATCCATATCGTCTTAAAGTTAGGTCAAATGTCACCCTCTCAAAGTTTTATTTCTTGTTATTTTCATAAAGAATAAACAATTAGCTCTTGTTATGATTTGAATATAAAATATATAATAATCAGCTCTAAGTAATTATCGACTCTTAAGTTAAATTTATTCCACGCACAGACTGAGTTTTGGAGTTGATTATGAAACTTGATATAAAATCC